CCTACTTTAATCCACATTTATATAGGATTATCAAGCAAGCCTTACCTAAAAGAAAATACAGCTTCTTTTCTTTTTGTTTATAATAATTCACATTGGGACATAGCTGAGCCCCAGGAACCTATGATACTTTTTGGTAGCTCTGCCTTTATTGCATAGCAAAGTGGCACCTCCTGTACAGAATACAGGCCAGCACCAGTTTAAAATTCTGTGTGTGGAAAGCAAAATGGCAGCTACCACACATGCACACACAGTAAAAAAAATAAAATAAAATACAAAGTGGGCTGAGGATCTAGCTTAATGGGAGAGTGCTGCACAAGGTACTGGGTTCAATCCCAAATATCCCCCTCCAAAGGTGTCAGCATGGTACAAACATACAGACAGACTAATGCAGCATTATTAAAAAAAATCACAGAAATAAATCTGCACATCCTAGATGCCAAGAACGGATTAGAAAGGGAGAGTCTCTACCATAAATTGGGAAAGCATGCAGAATGAATCTTCCTACCCCATATACAAAACCCAATTCAAATCGATTATAAAGACTCATACTTAAGACACAGAAGTAATAGAAGAAAACCTATAGAAAAGCCTTTGGACATTGGGTTTGGCAGATTTTTTTGATGTGCCCCCCAAGTCACTGGCAACAGAAGCAAAACTATACAAACAAAATGGTACCAAACCAAAGAGTTTCTAAATGATGAACAATCAACGCAGTGCGAAAACAGTCTACACTACCAGAGAACATGGGGCAGAGCAAAGCTGCTCATTTCATAGCAGCCAGGAGTAGGGGTGGGTGGCAGGGGCAGGGCAGGGGCAGTGAAGAAGGGTATCCCTCAAAACCCTACTTCCTCCAAATATGCCCATCTCCTAATAATACCATCATACTATAAACCCAAGCAGTTATTTATTGACTAGGTTAGAACATTCAGTACCTGATCACTGCCTCAGAGTCCATCAGAAATGTTCTTAGAGAACATCTGTCATATACCATATACCGCATACAGCATCAATATCCTAAATATGTAAGGGGTTTAGACAACTCAATAGTGATAAAAGAACCTGATTAAAAGTGAGCAGAGGGGCCCGAGGGCACATTAATAGCTCAGTGATAGCTCACCTACTTAGCATGTGGGTGAAGCCTAGGTTCAATCCCCAGTGCAGAAAAAAAAAAAAAGGAAGCAACAGATTTGAATGAATATTTTTCCGGAGAAGACTGTTAAGGCTGAATGTGAAATACAGCCCACAGACTCATGTGTTTGCACACTGAATCTGCAGCTGGTGCTCATACTTGGGTTGTGGAACCTTTAGAAGGCAGAGCCTTGCTGGAGGAAGCGGTTCATTGGGGATCGGGTCTTGAGGGTTATAAGCCCAGCCCTATGCATCTCTCTCTTTGTCTCTGTCTGTCTGTCTGTCTGTCTCCTGTCCCCCTTCCTTCTTGGTGCACTGGGCTGCAGGCACACAGTCTGGCACCCTTATTACTACAGCCACACTACCACTCTGGCGGTCATGTCTTCCACTGAGTAACGCACTACATCCTCAAACCGTGAACCAAAGCAGATAGATGCCTCTTCATCTTCTCAGGGATTTGCTGACAGTGATGAGAAAAGTAAAACGATGACCTCTACATTGTCAACGTGTATGAAAATGTGCTTACCATCATTAATCATGAGGGGGAAATGCAAATTCAAGCCACTGTGACATAGAGATTCATATTTGTTAGAAAGGCCATGGTCAAAAAGACAGAACAAGTGTTGAGGAGGATTAGAAAAAGTGAACTCTTGCACAGTGGTTCTGGGAATGTCAATTAGCAAAGCCATTATGGAAAACAGTGTGGGGCTTCCTCAAAAGTTCTGAAGTAGCTGGACTCCATATTCCAGGCCTGTCATCCTAAATACTCAGAGGCTAAGGCAGAAAGATCACAAGTTCAAGGCCAGCATGGATAATTTAGTGAGACACTGTCTCAAAAACAACAACAAAATGGTCTGAGGACATAGCTCCAGGTTCAACACTTGCCTAACATGTGAGGCCTTAAGTTCAATATATATATACACACACACACACATACATACATACACACACACACATATATATATATATATATATATATATATATATATATATGTATATATATATATATATCCATCCAGAAGTATGCTATAAGGGGAATGTCCCTGTGTCTGTGTCTTATCATGAGCCAAACTAAATCCCTCTTTGAACTGTTTCTGTCTGGTACTTCTCAGTGATGAAAAGTCTAACATACATCTGTTGTGTGCTATTTCATTACAGCATCCTTAGCAGGAATATACTGACTACACCAGTATCCTAGATTTTCATCCGGATTAACTTAGGAATCCTATACGCATTCAATAACCACCCCCAGTGATGAAAGGGTTGAATGAAGAAGTGAGCCTGCTACTGCTGGGTCCAGGTCCGTTAATTTACATATGTGTTTCATGCCGTGCATAAGGACCTCTCTTTCAACAACAGACCACATATGTGATGGTAGTTCCATAAGAGTACAACATCTGGTGATGTCATAGTCCACTCCGGTGTTTCCATAGTGATGAAATCACCAAACAGCACACTTTTCAAAACATATTCCTATTGTTAACCATCACTATAGAATGCTCTTTTTGATAAAGGACTGAGACATGTGAAGGCCTCCCTAGTGTTTTAGGTAAATCTTGTAAAAGGTATCGATATAATGTTTTAAGATTAACACTCCAGGTCTTATTACAAGAGGCAAGTGGAGGAACTGGACTGGCAGACACAGTAAGGTGTGGTTTCAAAGCACACACTTCAGAGATGGGAAGACCTGGGTTGGGTTCCTATTTTCAGGTGGTAACTCATCTGCAAATTGAGGAAGATAAATGTCTAAATTAGACAATTGGTAGGGAAATTACTGCATAGTAATTGACCTTGACCCATGAAAATTAATTTCCCTACCATAATTTCCCCCAAACTAGAAGTATCCGAGAGGTCTTAGCATCAGTAACAATTCTGTTCACCTTGCCATTCACAAGAAGTCAGCCTCAGAAAAGCAAGCAATTTTCTTTGTAAGAGCCAACTTAGTTAAGATACCCAACTCATTTCCTGATTATAATAGTCACATAAAATAATGCGAGTTCTAGCAAAGCTAGTGGAACAAAACACATTCTCATCACTATAAGTTTATGCTCTTCACACACGCACACACACACCTGCATGCACGCATGCACGCACGCACGCACGCACGCACGCACGCACGCCTACTCAAAGCTAAGCTTTTGGTTTACAAGGGAAAGTCCCCCAGTCTCAGAAGACACTGTAGTCAGATATGAACAGACCCTGTTTGCCTAAAACTTTAAAGAAGGCTTCACATTAACTTCCAAATTCCCAGGGAATCACAATATTAGAACACATTTGACATCAGCATGAATTTTCTGACGTCATTTCAGAGTATACAAAGGATGGCTTGACAAAATGGAACATTGTTTCTCATACAGAAACAATGTTTACATCTGTTCATATCAGAAAGTAGTTGTCATATATTATTTTCCCATCAGAAGAATTGTAAGACCCTGGATGAATGCCTCTTTTTGGTCTTTCATAATAAAAACTATAAACAGAGATATTCAACCACGTCGAAAAACACAGATACAAGTCTAAAGCTCAGTATAGAACATTCAAGTGGGGAAGAAAAAAAAAAAAAAACAGCTTTAATGGCCTTCAGCAGTCCAAGGCTGCAGTAACTATTTGTTCCACTAGGGGCAGCAGTGTATAAGGAATGGCAAAGTAAGCATTTCAATTATGTTTGCATAGAACTCTGCTAGCTCACCTATTAATTAGACATATGAAAGATCAATAATTTGGTTATATTTCCTCATTTTAAGAAGATTTTTTTGGGAAATGTTTTGGTGCCGGAATTCATATCTTTGTTGTTTTTAAAGCTAAAAGAAATAATTCTTCTTCCCTTAGCTCCCTCCCCTCTAGCTGACTCCATGATGAGACAGTCTTATTAGGATTTCATCAGACTCAGGCGTGGGACACAATGAGAAGTAATAGTGTGGGGCCAGAAGAAAGAACAGAAGGCACCAGGAGTAGAATTCAAGACCTTTCTGAAGAGTCCCAACTAACGAAGGAAAATCTGGTTTTATCATTTATGTATTTGTGACTGTCTGTTTTTGTGTGCGCTCACTCGTGAAAAAATAATTGTAAGGATTAATAGATGTCTAGATGCTTAATGCCCATCCTCCACAGAGCTTGCATTCTGAATAGCAATTTTGTCTTTATCTCAAAGTTAACCAATCAAACACACTCAGCTTCAGTTTCCTTGGTAACCGACCTCTGCTTGCTGTCTAGACTTCTGGTCATAAGAGAGAAAAGGAAAAATACAGGACTATAGCGAGCAGGCTAGAAAATGTCATCTCTTCTACGCCCCCCCCAACTTCTTACTGCAGTCTATTTCTCTGCCTTTCTCATCACCCCACCCCCACCACCAAAAAAAATCAGCAAAGGCTGTTGGTGAGGTCCAGTGAGATGACATCCACCTGTATGTATCTTTGCCTTCATTTCTGCATCAGTTTGGTCCTAGCTAGTCAAATCCTCAGCAAAACAGATGTCTTTCTTTGTGCTCCACCTCGCCTCTCTTTATTTCTGGAATATATTATTCTCGTGATCAGTCACAAGCATGATCCTCCATCATTTTTTTCCTCTCCTGCCTCTTCCCTTTCTGTCTTAATGAAATAAGTGAAGGAGAGAAGAGACATGAGCCATAGAAGAGACAGAGGCAGCTACTACTCATGGGATCTCTGGGTGGTGGCTTTCTAAAAGCCATGCTTTGGGGACTCCCACTACTACATCCTCATTGAACTCTGAAGGGTACACACACATGCACCGTGTCTAATAAATCCGAATAAGATTGTCTGCGAAATTTCCCCCTTCCATGTTAACATGTCCACTGAAAACGCCATTGTTCTGGTTATGTGGTCATTTCTAGGAGAGGTTGACAGCAGACTTACTAGTATCCTGGCTCTTAACATCTTTACAGCCCCTCTTCCTTGATGTTCCCTGAGCCATAGATGCAGGAGCTGTGAAGAGGGGTATCTGTGGGGCTGGGCTCCCCATGGTCTATTGACCTCTGCACTGTGTCCAGTTGTGGTTTGCCGTGATGGTCTCCATTTGCTGTAGAGAGGCTTCTTTGATGAGGGGTGGTGGCTGCACTTGGCTGTGGATAGAAGGGTAAGATTTACAATGTAGAAGGAATTATGCTGGTCTAGCTAAGTGGTGGTAGTGGATTCTTTTCTAAGGTTCATGACCTCATTAGCTTGGAGAAGCAGGGTAGGTTTCCAGTACCAGACATGGTTTCTCTACTGCTCAGTGGACCTTAAGTCCAATTAGACGGCTATTGGTTGCCACTGACATGTGAGTGCCACTTACTACACCTTCATGCATATCCTTCCATGCTGTAATTGCCCTGGTTCATAGGTGGGGCAGCTGGGTAGGTTTGTTTAATTGATTCCCTACCTTGGCAGCTTGCATAGTAATTCTGGAACAGCGACAGCTAGATGCAGGAAAGAGGCTCTCAGGTCACATCCAGCTCAAGTCATCTGAGTCTTGTGTCCTAAGTGTGTGGTGTCTTCGGCAACAGGGGTGCACCCTCTAATCCCTTAGAGGCAATCAAGCGCTACATCTATAATTTGTATTATTTTGGGAGTCAGTTGGCCTACCCTGGCCAACTATTTGAAAGGAGGTTTCTCATACTTGGTACTGGGGTATTTATTAGTCCATGCTTCTTGTGGAAAGCAAAGTGGCTTAACTTTCTTTAATACACATACACGCACACACTTACATATACTCTTCTGTATAATTTTTACATAATTATAGAATCTTATGATTTGAGACAACCTTGTTCTCTCTCTCTCTCTCTCCCCTCTCCCCTCTCCTCCCCTCTCCTGCCCTACCCTTCCACTCCTCTAGGCTCATCACCACCCTGCCCACAACTGTCCTCTCTGCGGTGTTTATGATATCCACTGAGGCTTTCATAGAAACCCAACTTTCTAGCTGGGTACAGTGGTACACCACTGTAATCCCAGCACTGGAGAGATGGAAGCATGGGGATTACAAGGTCAAGACGAGCCTGGACTACACAATGAGACCCTGCCACACCTACTCACTGCCCACCCCCTCAAATTAAAACCTTGGTGTGATGGTACATAACTTTCATCCCAGCACTTGCAAGATAGAAGGAGGATTATGACTTGAGGTCTACTTGGGATACACAGCAAGCTTTTGTCTCAGCAAAACACACACAACAAATCTAACTTATCAGGATATGCCTCAGTGCTAGCAAGTATGTTGTTGTCATGGCTCTACATTTCTGGGATCTAATCCTCAGCTGCCACAGGAAACCCTCGGGCCCTCTCTTTATTGGTCTAAATTACTACTGCAAAAAGGCTCCTTTTCTCCTGTGTAGCCTGAGAGCACACCTGTAAAGAAAACCTGTCTCTCCCGTCTCATTCCTGGAGGGACCCGGATTTCAGAATTCCCACATCTTTTGTCACCTCTCTCTTACGTATTCTGTTCCCCAAGTTCTCCAGGTCCCACCATCCATAAGGCCTCAGGGAAGAGGCAGGGGAGAGGAGAAAGCTTGTGTGGGGGTAAAGCTTGACAACGTGTCCCCAATTTCCTCCCCACCCCAAATTCCAAATGAGCCAGGCACCTCTACTCATCCAAACCTATTCCTGCTTTGCTTTTCAGAGGCTCCAATGTCCATATTCCTATTCTGGTGCTGAGACCCCAGAGTGTACGCCATATCAACAACCTCCATCCGTTCTCACAGATACTAACAACTAACTTTCCTTAAATTATCCTGGGATAAACATGAAAAGCTTTTTAATACTACATTTACATTTACTTCATGTGTGCATGGCAGCTGGTTGTGTGTGTGTGTGTGTGTGTGTGTGTGTGTGTGTGTGTGTGTGTGTAGGACAAATTGCAGGAGTCACTTTTCTCTATGTATTAATTTGAATCAGTGTCAATAAAAAAAAAAAACACCCCAGAATTAAGTGAAGCATCCAAGTCTATACTCCGCTTAATTTACATCTTCAGGAATTTTATTTTTAAATAAGAAAAAGGAAAAATAAATAAACTGCATTTTAAAAACTGTGTAGCAATACAGCAAGGGCCAGTGAGATGGGTCAATGGGCGAAGGAACACGACCTCAAGCCTGAGACCTGCATCCTGTTCCTGGCATCCATGTGGTGGAAGGAGAGAACCAACTTCCAAAAGGTCCTCTTGGACCTCCACACACGTGTCATAACATACATGTGCATGCACGTGTGTGCATGTACACACATGAATAAATGTATAAAAATTGTACAGCAAACAAGTCTTTCCTTTTAAATTTTATTTCTTCTTTTTATAAGTTCCTTGAGATGTTTGTAACATGTGTTTTGATCATATTAACTCCTACTCTCCCAGATCCACTCCTTTCCCTACCTATCCAACTTTATGTCCTCCTGTTTTGTTTTGTTTTTTTTGTTGTTTTTTTTGTTTTTCGAGACAGGGTTTCTATGTGTAGCTTTGTGCCTTTCCTGGGACTCACTCGAACTCACAGAGATCCACCTGGCTCTGCCTCCCGAGTGCTGGGATTAAAGGCGTGCGCCACCACCGCCCAGCTGTCCTCCTGTTTTAAAACCCATTGTCTTAGTTAGGGTTTCAATTACTGTGAAGAGACATCAGGACAGCTTTTATAAAGGAAAATAGTCAATTGGCTGGCTTACAGTTCAGAGGTTTAGTCCGTTATCATCATGGTGGAAACAGGATGGAATGCAGGCAGACATGGTACTAGAGAAGGAGTTGAGAGTTCTACATCTTGATCTGTGGGCAACAGGAAGTGAACTGTCTACCATACTGAGCAAAGCTTGAGCAAAGGAGACCTCAACGCCCACAGTGAAACACTTTCTCATACAAGACCACACCTACTCCAACAAAGTCACGCCTCCTAATAGTGCCACTCCTTTTGGGGGCCATTTTCTTTCAAACCACCACACCCATCAAGTCCCATTTGTGCTGCCCATATATTCTTGGGTGTGTCACCTTCCATGGGAGCCTGGTTGACCTATCAGAGGCCACACCTGTGAAGCAAACTGTCTCTCCCTCTTGCAACTGCTACCAATTGCCAATAGCTTCGCAGCTAGCAGGGCTGAATTGAGCTCGCACAGCATGCTGCCACAACCTTTGCCAGTTCTTTTGCACAGCTGTCTTACTGTGTCCACAAATCACAATCTCCTCGGAGTTATTCACCACCTCTTACAGTATTACAGTATTACAGCTCTTACAGTATTTCTGATCTTTCCTCTGCAAGGATCCCTGAGCCTTGGGAGGAGGGGTGGTGGCACACATGTTCCATTTAGTGCTGAACATTCTGCAGTCTCTTATTTTCTGTACCAGGACCGGTTGTGGGTCCCTGTTAATTGCCATCTACTACAAGTACACTTCTCTGAAGAGGGTTGAGATATAGATTAACCTATGGACATACCAATAAGTCATTAGGAATCAGTTTACTACTATTTCCACTTAGCAGGATAACACTAGTAGGTTCTCCCCTGGGCCTATGACCTGTTGCCACCGACATGTGAGTGCCACTTAATGCACCTTCATACATATCCTTCCATGCTGGCAATTGCCCTGGTTCACATAACAGGGCCAGGTATGGGCTTTAACTTGTGGAGCAGACCTTAGATCCCATCAGAACGTGGTTGATTATTACTACGATGTTCATGCCACTATTGAACTGGTGAGTATGTCTTGCTAGGTCAGGGATTATTATAGCTTGCAGGGTTCACAGTCATATAAGCTTAGTGATTATTTTTCTCCTCCAGTAGGGAACATAGCATCTTCCAGCACTATGACAGCTAGCTAGTATAGTTTAAGCTTCCAAGTGAACACTAGCAAATTGATTTCTCCATGTTCTATGATTCAAGTCTATAGTGTCTTTAGCAATAGGGACTTGGCAATATTCTGACATGTTTGGGAGTCTATGGGACCTCACTGGACAGCAACTCTAAAAGAGGTAACTGTTACCTGGCACTGGCATTTTTGTAAGCTTGTAGTGTCTAGTAAGGGTGTTGTTACCCTGTTATAACTCTGTTTTAACAATAGATAGATAGATGTACGTATGTACGTATGTATGTATGTATGTATGTATGTATGGTAGGTAGGTAGATAGGTAGATAGATAGATACATAGATAAATAGATAGATAGATAGCAGTGGTTTTCCATATGACCTTTTCCAAGGCTCTTTACATTATTTCTCTCTACTTATATTTCTTCCTCTACCCTGCCTTCCCACTCCACCCCACTTTAATCCTTCCTATTTATTCTCATTTAGCCTCTTACATTATTGAGCTATAGCCCATCTTCCTTGAAAACCACCCCCCCAACCCATGTCCCCTTACTAATTTTTATCTTTATGGGTATTTCAATTGAGGCACAAATATTTAATGATTCAATGCTAACATCTACAAATGACAGAAAATGCAATGTTTGTTTTTCTGGGTCTGGGTTACTTAACTCAGAATGATGGTTTCTAGCTCCATCCATTTACCTGAAATTTTCATAATTTTTTTAAACAGCTGACTAAAAGTTCATTATGCAAATGTACCCCATTTTCATTATCTATTTATCAAGTGATGGACACCTAGGCTGTTTCCATATCCTGACGGTTGTGACTAGAGCAGCAATGAACATGGATGAGTAAGTATCTCTGTGGTAGAATAGAGTCCTTTGGGTATGTGACCATGAGCGGTGTAGCTGGATCATGTGGCTGATCTATTTATAGCTGTTAGGGGAGCCCCTACACTGATTTCCATAGTGGCTGCACAAGCCTGCATTCCAATCAGCAATGAATAAGTATTTCCCCCTTTCCCATATCCATACCAACACTTATTGTAATTAAAAAATTAACAATTCTGATTGGAGTAAGATGAAATCTCAAAACAGTTTTAAGTACATTTCCCTAATGGCTAAGGATATTAAACATTTAAAAATGTTCACCCACTTGTATTTCATCTTTTGAGAACTCTGTTTCGTTTCATGCCCCATTTTGAAATCGGGTTGTTTTTCTGTCTTTCTTTTCTTCTTCTTCTTTTTTTTTTTTTTTTGGTAAGTAAAATTTGAAGTAAGGTTTAATTAAATACTGGCCAGATTGATGGACTCTCCAG